TTTTTCATTCTCATTCTTTGTTCTTCTTACATATATTCCAGCATTACAAATACCCAACATTGTATTTTATGCTACATTTATGGTAATTAAAATAATCATTTAATTCTTATCTATATGATCACAGAAAATTAATCTGCCTACAACACATTTTGACATTGGAAATGTCAAACAAACTATTTCCAAAGATCTGTGGAACATAGACCACTTAGCATTTAATGATTGCTGACATGTTTCTGATTCTACAAATTATGTATATTTAATATATATAATTTATAGATGTTATTCCTGTTATAGATACTAAACATGATGGAGACTTTGGCAAGAGCTCAGAGCATCTCAAACACATCAATAACTTTCCATTGTTCATCAATTATACAGAATACATTTAATATTCCCCTAAAGTCTCCATTAAATATGTAAACATTTCGATTATTTGTTTTATCTATGTAATCTCTGTCACAGCTAATAAAGTAGGGCAGGTTGGCAATTCTCAGAAATATATAACAATACTATAGCAAGCATATGTTAAAATAACTGTAGTTTTCTTATGAATTATTAATAAATTGAAACCTTAATTAAATCACCTGATAAGAAATGAAAGAACTACAAATTTTGTTGGGAATACTATTTTTTGAAAGATGCAGTCTCTCATAATTTTCCTTTTCTATGACATTATGGGGATAAACAGAAAAACATTTGAAAATTTAGCTATATCTGCCCAAAGCATATTTTATTTACTTTTTACCACAAACTACTGAATAACAACTATTTACTGAATTGCAAATGTTAATGTTCACTTCTAATTTTCTTCTCCCTGACTGTATTTTTTTACAAACAGTCCCTAAATTTTCCTAGTTTTTTAAGTACATGTATTAAATTGCTTTCTTCTTTAATTCATATAATAGAGACTAGCCCCACCTTTAATTTGGTGATTAGAGATATTTTTAGATCTTTTCTTGTTCAATCTTTGCAATGTAAGGTTGCTCATAATTCTGTATAGGCAATTGTTTGTATATTACCTCATGTTTTTAGCTGGCCTCACAATTTGAGTGCATGTTTGTTCCTTACTAAGTATTAGAAAAGCTATCAATAAATGATACTGATGTTTTCATTTCACAATTTACAAAGCTGTGCCCCATGTGCTGGTAGGTGCCATTGTACATTTATATCATTATCATATTTCTATCATTGCTTTTATTGCAATTTGCATGATTTTTCTATTAATTTCCCAAATTATCCTCATCATACAACAATTGCATGAAAGAACAGATTAAAAATTTCATTCCCTTTATATTGTTCAAAACAGAAATCACATGTTTTGTTCATTTTAGCTAAATGAAACTCATAATCAAGATTCCTTGTCTGATTTTTTGTTTTGTCAATTATAGAGCACAATTCATTATTGCATTTTAATCTATAGTAAGCAAATACCAGTATGAGAGCTTTGTGGGATTAAAGATTGACACTATTATCACAGAATTATACATTGAAATTTAAGGTGTTTATATTTATTAGCTTTGTAATCACTTCACAATTCTTCATTATTCTCTGGAAAAATATAATTAATTTTTTCTGTGCCTTAGACCTCATTTACAGTTTGTATGTGTTGCTTAGAAATTCTTCTTAGACTCTGTTATATCTTGAAAATTTGATATTTTCAACATCTCTTGTTCAACTCTTTTCTAAAGCATTGCATTAGTAGAAAAATATTATTTTCTTACTATAATAATTTCTTAAATAGTTTTCTTGTAACATACACTTTGGACCCAAATATCCCAGTGTCCTTTACTTTGCAATTAGCATTTCTTTCATAGTGTATTTGCTTATATGAATCAGAAGTTTCACAGGGACCCTATAACATTGTATTCTGCTTCAAAATATATCATATCATACAAGTCATTTTTCTAATACATTGATGTGCCCAACTTCCTTTGAAATCAGACATATAGATACATAAATGTACATCACTATTTCAGTATTGAAGAATTCTATAAATATTTTTCTGTACCCATATGCTCAATTATAGAAAAAGCTGGCCCTTAAATATGATATACATAGCATGTATTGAAAATATTAATAATATTCTTCCTTGTTCTTGGAATATACTCTCTTCTTAAATTCTTTAACTTCCTCTGTGACATGCTAGAGAATTTCCCCTCAAATGCTCATTCTACACAAATATTTTCCAGATTGTACCATTGATATGTACTTACTATTTCTTACTTGTAAAAATGATGAATTCAAGAACTGTCTTATTTTAGAATTAAATTTTACATTATAGAAGCTTGTACTTTTTTGCTATTGTGTATTTTTGTATGTTTGAGAAGTGTGGTGATAGATATTTTAATTCCTATCTCTTCAGCATCAACCAACATGGCAGTATGTGTATATGCTTATATAAATAATTGCATAAGCAAAAATAAACATGTACACACATATACATACATATATACATACATATTATACTATGGGGACTGAAATCAATATGTTTAAGTGAAACTTTTAAAATAATAACAATCAGAACATATCATATTTTCTCTGAATATATTAAAACGTATCGTAACATCCAGTTCTCTTTTGTTACAAGTTTTTTCTCCTATGTTACTGAATAGTAACATACTTTGTTTTTTTATCCATTCAAATTTCCTAATATCTTAATTTGAATTTAAAGACCTCACTATTTCATATATACATAAAATTTAAAAAATGATCGTCTAGAAGTTGATGAAACATAATGATTGTAAGAAATTTGAGAAAGTACTGAAGATGGGGAAAATAGGAATGTTTCATGTTTTAGTTGGTCATGTGTGTAACTTGGAAGATTAAGAAATAATAACCATGAGTTTTAAATTTTTCTGGGCTGCAGACTAAATGTTTTTCTCAGAAAACACTGAACAAACAAGACTCACATGATTTAAAGTATATCTAATGCCTCATATATGAATTAAGAATGACAAAATTCCAAGACAATCAAACTGTTTCTCTGATTTTAAATTAAAATAATATATACTTAAGCTATTTGGTTTTATTTCATAATATACAATTTTGATTATCTAATCATTGTATTTTATATTAAGGCAATGGAAATCATTATACTTTTGAAGCTTATTGATGGATGGAATCCCCATGTAGTTATCTCTGGTTTTAGGTGATATATATAATATAACTGTTATTGGGAATACTTTTGTAAAGAAAGCACATTGACTTTCTGTAACACCAAGGAGAGTATTTTATCATATATTAGCTGTATTTCTGAGTCAGCATTGCTACTTTTTTCTTGGATATGCCATGTTAGTAATTTTTACCTAAAACAGTTTTAAAAACTGAATTGTTCAAGCTACTAAAGCTTGCCACATGCAAGAATAGAGGGGACAAAAGAAAGGAGAAAATAAGAAATGAAGAAAAGGAGAGAGAAAGAAGAAGGAAGGAAGGAACAAAGGAGTGAAAAGAAGGAAACAAGGATAATTAACAGCGTGCATTGATGGAAAAATACTAGAAAAATGGCTATAAAGTAGAAAACCAAAGGCATTATATGTTTCTCTTTTAATTTTGTGTTCCTTGTAGTAACAGATTAATGTGAAAAACATTCCATATTATAAATCATGACTTTATGACTTTAATGAATTATTTAATTTAACAAATTTGAGTCACAGAAATTGCACACTATTCTCATAGTTAGCATGGCATTTTCAAATATGTACATGTAATGGATGGCTAAATAGACCTAATTAACATGAATTAAAGTGTGATTGTTTCTAATTGCCTTTCATAATATTTGACTATTAGACTTTTATGTATCATGAATTGAAAGCTCTACAGAAAGAAAATGTACTCTGTGTTTTAAAAGAAGTTGAAACAATGCTGTAAAATTCAGAAAAATAAAACATCTAAATGAAGAAATAGTGCCAATAGCACATTTTCTTAAGTAAACACACAAAAAATCACACTTGAATAAGAGGAAAAATATCCTCCTTTTCAGTTCATTCCAAACTGATCAGACAAGTACTTCCAAAATGATTAAATCCTGCTTGCTCTAAAACCATGCATGGAACCATCCAACCTTAGTATTCTATTTCTGTGGAACAGAGAAATAATCCATGAAAATACATCAGAAAATGAAAAAGTACCAACTGGTGTTAAATGTAACACTCAAAAGAAAACTAGATGAAGCCTGAGTGAGAAGCATATTTTTTCTAAGGGAAACAGTTATAGAGAAGAAATAGGTGAGAATCATTCCAGTATTCCAGAAAGTAAAGCAATTTTCACCTATTGTAAATCTACAATGAAATTAATATCAGAGTTCAAGTGATGTTCATAGCAGCATTGTCACAAATACTAAATATCTAAAAAATGTTCAACAAATGTACTTGCTAAAGTAAATAATAAAATCCATATATGACAATTAAATATTATAAAAATGTGTTAGCATACATTAGGTTATTTATATCTCATCTTAATTTTTATGCTTTTCAATTAATTTTTAGTTAACAAACAATCAAGGCAGTACACTAATAAGTTGTTAAATGCAACGTTAGTTCATTGTAATAGTATAAGTATGATTAAACAATTAAAGGCTCTTTAATATTTGTTGTGCTACATTTTGATAGTGTTTTAACAAGTAATGTTTGCTTGGAGTCAGAAGTTGAAGCTATCCACTAACTGACCGAAATGTGATTTTTTTAAGTTTATAATAACCTGCTTTATGAAGATCAATAGTATTTGGAGATGTTTTTACTTGTTGCAGGCATTAATTAATACATGACATGGGGTATTTTATTATTTTATTTTATTTTGTGCTATTATCCTTTTGAAGCCTGCATTGTTTTCTAATGAAAGACAGAAAGAGTGGAACCCATTGGGACAAGAGATGGGGAGGAACTGGGCAGAATAGAGGGAGGGGAAACCATAATCATGATATATCATGAGAGAGAAAGATATGCCATGGTAAGTAATTTTCTTCAGAAACATTTGCGAATATGCTTAACACATAGCTGACATACTTTTGGGGAATCGAGGTGGATTGTCATTGACGTCAGTGAGGGTGATATTGACAATTGTTGTTCCAGCTAGGCCACCGAGTTGTCCTCCCATGTCCTTTGCTTGAATGAGGACCTGGTACTGCTCTTTGACTTCTCTGTCCATGTTTGGCAATGCTGTTCTAATAACACCTTTGGGAGAAGTGATAACAGAGAATCAATATCACAGGCAGAACTCTTCTCCTGCTCCAATTAGACTGAAACAGAAGAAACAGAAGACAGTAGTTATGCCTAGATTTATTAGCAATGAAATATTAAATAAAATCTCATATCAAAAATTAAAATAAACTGACTACCCTAAAGTTGGAATGTGATATTTTTTAGATTTTCACAGCCACATCTTAAAAATGTAGCTATGAGTAATACAAGAAAATTACAGTGTACCTCATAATCAAGGTCATCTCTCCCCAAGTAAATTGTTTGACCTAATTTATGTATTCAAGTCTATGATGAAATGAAGAAATTGTTAAAAATTTAGACTAATTTATAGGCATGGAATAATTTTGGTAAATAAAGTGAGTTGAATGTATAATTCCAAATACTATTATAATCTCCATTTTTAATATCTACAATAATAATCTACTTAATTTAAATATACAGAAAATATGTCACTTACATGATATGCCTTTTTTTTCCTTTCAAGACTTTCCCCCACTATTTTAACTGAAGATTTTCACCGCTCCCACTCCCTTAGCTGTCATCCGATATTAATTCATGGGGTCTTTGAGACTCCTTCCATCAAGGTAACCCACTGTCCAAGATAATATCTTATGCTTAAAATTCATCCAGTATGTGACTGAATAAATGAATGACTGGGTGAATGAATTTATCTTACAGTTTTGAATCTTATATCACATATACATATTTACATATGACCATTATTTCTCTTCTTGTATCCAGGTTGAGGTACTACTTTATATTTCTATTTATTCATGGTAAAAAAAGTAAGACTTTTCAGAATCATTTGGAAGATGAATTATAAATTTTATACCAATTCCAATAGCTAGTCAAGAGTTGTAACAGGTAGAGATTGGAGAACCTTTACTTTAAGCACACATGACTTTGATGATGGTACAGCATATCTTAAATAAAAAAACATGAATGAATAATAAAATGTCAGCCATCAATATAGTATATAGCTTTCAAATCAGTATGCCAGCATATATCTTATATCTGTACTTGCTACCACCTACTTACCCATTGCTGTATTTTTGCTAATGCATATTGAACTGCAATCTGATATTTCGTCTGGCACTTGGGAGGAAATAGTTACAGAAAAGCCATCCATCATTTTGGGTCCTAATGCTTTATTCATGAATTGGTACTGACACCATTTTGATCCAATCTGTTTTCTCTTTAGCATGTGCTTTTGATGCTTTATTTTCCATGTGTCTAAAACTAAGACTTTCAAGCTCTACATTTCAATGTTGTTGTCTTACATGCCTTACACTATGTGGCAACTATATGATGGACAATGTTCACATTTTCTAGATAAACCCTTGGTTTTGCTATTTGCTGTCTCATTGTATTATTTGCCATGTATGATTTTACTCAGTTCTCTAAATAAACAGTCTTTAAGTTTCAATGTATGGATAGTTCTTACTCTGTATCATTTATATCCCTACCTTATTCATCTCCCAGTATGAAAACTTTACACAGCAGAAAGAAAAGAAAAGGAATGGGAAAAAGAGAAGGGGCTGGGACATGGGGATGAGGAGAAAGAAAGGAAACAAAAGAGAAAAAGAGTATTATTTCTGGCCTTACTTGTTCCATGACTTACTTCCTTCTATTAATAAAGCTATATTTTGGGTTCATTATAGACAAAAGTATTTATGATGTCTACTTTCTTGTTAATCTATTTAACAGAAGTTTTCAGTTATTGGTTATAGCCACAATTATATTGTATATTATAAATAAATACTTGTAAAAATAATGATTAGTTACTATGCAGGTGCCTCGGGGGAATAGTGCTTTCATTCCACTTGTTGCAGGATTGGGCTCCCAGGTATTTACAGAATTGTTACAGGAATGGGCTCCCAGATATTTACAGACTTGCTGGGTGAGTTTGATAGACCACTTGTAAACCTATATATACCAAGAACACAGAGCTTCTTAATCAGTGAACATTTTGTTCATTTTAGAGACACTATCTCCATACATAATTCGGAGAAGAATAGAGAATTCATACCATGTGTACCTCTGGGTTCCACGTGCACACACACAAACACATGTGGTTTTATCACACAAAATTTTAGCATACACAGTTGCTAAACTAATAACAGTAATTAAATTTAGCATAGATCATTTATTTTATTTTCTGTATAGCACATTCAAACATGTCAAACTCAAATTGTGATGAAACAGTCACTTATAATTTTATTAAATATTTATTGCTTTAGGGAGAATGTGTGTAACACAGCATGTGTGGAAACGTCAGAGGATAACCTGCAGGAACCTTTTCTGGTCCTCTCCTTCTACCTTGTGCATTCCAGAGATACCATGATACAATTCAGGTTCTTAGGGTAGGCCTAACAGCAAGCACCCTTAGCTACTAAGGCCATCTTGCTAGCATTTTCCCATTTAGTTTACAAGGAATAACTATATTCTCCTATGTCTATGTATGAATGAATGAAAGCAAGACTAAATTTTTTTCTTCCTATGACTCAGTTTAGTCATTGGTAGCCTTTTTTCTCACTTAGAAAGAAGCAATTCTTTTTTTTCTCCGTAACAGCTCTACCACTTCCCGGATACATGTACACCTCACACGGAAATGTTTGTTTTTCTTTAATTTATTTTACACACATATATGTATATGTGAAAACATGTGTATATGCACGCATGTGTATGAAAGACACAGCTTGTGTGTGGAAGTCAGAGGACAGCATTTGGGGTTAGTTCTCTACTTCCACGCTTCGTTCTTTAGGAATTGAACTCTAACATGACAGCAAAGGTCCATAATTGCTGACCTCTCTCTCTCTCTCTCACTCAACATTTTCCTTTCAAGACCAAGCACTCCATGACCATTCTGCTGATGTTTGTGTCTTCTCATTTGTTGCAGGATTCAGATGGGTGTCCCTTGGGGGTGGGCGAAAGTAAACATGATACCAATGACACGGGCATTTTGAACGAGATGAAACAACAAGCTGAGTTTAATTCTAGGAAGAGGTAAACCTTGTATATCCCTCAAGCCTGTCCCAGGGGAAGAGATCCACTGAACTGGTATCTACTGAGATGATGTGGTCACTGTCCATAGGTCCAAGTCATCTCTCATCAGACTTGGCTACCATTGTCAAGGCCCTCTGTCAGATCCAGGCTGGCTGTCAGGAAATGTCTAGTATGCATCATCTTACTATTAGCCTAGGCCCGCTGCCAAGAGATACCTACTGCAAATGCTCTAGGCAACTGTCAGGCCCATTGAGGCTTAGTCAGCTGACACTCAATCCGTTCACAAGTTATCAGTTTATTCAGAGTATGTGTTTGCATGCATTGGTGTGTATATTCCTTTGTGTAGTAGTGTACATAAACATCAGTTTGTGTGTATGAGGTGGGTGTCTTTCCCAGGAGTTAATTCTTCAAATTCTTTGAGACATGTCTTCTCCCCAGGACCTATAGACTTCTGACATCTCAGAAACCCCAAGGAGCTGCCATCAAGCTTTTGTATTACAAGCATGCACCACTGTACTTGGAATTTTATGTATGGTTGAGATATCGAACTCAGGTCCTTAGGCTTGAGCAGAGAACTTCTTGAATGTCCCCCTCCCCAGGCCCTGCATACGATGATTTCTAGATCTGTAACCTTTTTGAACTCTTGAGTTCTTTTGGAATCTGAAGTTGGAGAATTGTAGCGAATAATATACTGTTTTGTATGCGTGATCATGTAATATAACTGCAAATGTTGAAAAACAGAGAACACAGTATGTGGCTTTCTCTTAATGGTTGGGTATTTTCCTTGACATACATTTTGCTTACTAATAGACATTTAGTTCCATTGATTTCACAATCAAAAATGTCTTAATGTTTCATATTAATTCATTTCATTCATATAGACATATATATATGTATGTATATAAGAATGACTACTTATATAGGTTAAAATTTAATTTTGTCATTAAAGGAAGAAATTACTGTTTACCTTACCAGTATTAACTGACATATCTGAGTTCTGTAGGATTGTATTTTGAACTTACAGCAAGACAATATTCAAGTCATAAAGCATCATTAGGACTCATATAATATTTAAAGCATTGCCTTAATACATAAGATGTGGCCTTTGGTGAAAATTTAGTGTGGGACCTTAAAGGAATTATTATATCTTATGCCTGAAAGCTGCCTTATAAATATCAATGTTTATATTCAAAGACAAATGCTACTTTCATCCCTAAGAAACTCTTCTTTTATGTTGTTTGAAAAAACCTTTTTGTTTTTCTTCATTATTTTATTATTCACATTCCAATCCCAGTTTAAAGCTGGAGAATCAGGGTTCCTTAATATTGTGATATCAAGTAATACTTGAGTGCTTATCTATAAACAAAACAACTACATGATGCCTGAAGTTCAGTCCATACCATAGAGGACAGACACAAAAGACTTTATTCAGAAGATCAGAAAAAATGCTTGAAATGCTATTTCCAGGCTATGACACAGTTTTTGCAATCTGAGATTCCCAGTAAATGATGTTGCCAACATGGGGCCTACACAGCCTTGCTTGGCTGAACTCTTGACTACTAGAAGGTGTTTGGGGAACATTGTCTTCAGTTTTTTGCTTCTATAGAGTTCACTATGCTACAGTAGATTATTTAAAAACCATGGCTACAGAGATGCCTCTGACTGACTGACTGACTGACTAACTGACTGACTAACTAAATCACAAAAGAAAATGAACATGCTTGCAGCAAAAGACGTGAATGGAAGAAGGAAGGTTGACTGGATGGGAGGGAGACAACAGAGGGTATAGTGTGAAAGCAATCATTGCTCATTTTTTACATGCACAAAATTGTCAAAATCATATTTAATAAAGGTACTAAAAAGAATAGAGATGAGTTATTGTATGGTGGTAACTTTCATTTTTGACACAGGCTTAAGGCTTTCACTACTAAATGTACAGGGATACATTCAAGTTTAAGTTTCTTGAG